AGAAAGTGAGAGATTACAACCGACAAAAGGAGAACAAAAATGACATTTTGAAAGGGAGAACACACGACTAACCCTACTCAAAACATGCAAATTTTTATACTTTCATTTTCTTTGCAACTGCTTATAGATTTCGAATTTCAACACAACTTCCAATAGATTTAGGTTGTTTTTCAACATTCCAGTAGATAAACTAGTTCGAATTTTCAACATTCCAGTAGATAAACTAGTTCGAATATTTGTTTCAGCAATTTCGTTTCATATAATGAACTTTAAGTTCTTAAATTTCTTTAAGGTACTGTTTCTTTTCTGACTGTAATTAATTTAATATTTATGATAAGTAATGTTTCATCAAATGTTTACTTATATGGCGTTCACCCTTCTTCTCAATTTCAAGCATGTTACTTTAATAACTGTTTATGTTTATTTTAGTTTTAATTAGGGTTAAATATCTAATTCTGCAGTAGTTTAATTTTTAGATCTGTCAGTAGATAGCATTTTAATTTAACAATCAACATGTTTAGTTTAATTTGGATACATCTTGTTCTCGTAAATTTATTTTAAATTGCATGCTTTTTAGTTTAGTTAGGATTTGATAACTTTAATTTACGGTAGTATTTAAGTCCTTAGAGTTGTTCAAGACAGATTTGTAACCCATTCTACAGAAAGGCATCCCTCCCTCTTGCAAATTGTCTATAGGCATAGATTTCAGTTTTAATCCAACGTTCTTCCCGCCATCCGCAAGAAGGTTGACCGTGAAGAAAAATAGGGTCATTGGGAAAATCCTCCTTTCTTACTTTTAGCAAAATAAGTGGCATGTCCGCATCCAGATTTCGCACGTGCGAAGCCACTAGAGGATTTTCGGGGAAACAATATATTTAATTGATTTCATATCTGAAAATTATATTGAACTTTTAATAACTTGATGAAATCAAGCCATCTCAAATTTTATACGAAAAAATTCTCTTATGAAAGATGTGAGGTATGTGAGATGTTTCATGTTTCCTTTCTTTGCTTTGAATAATTATGAGTTATTTTGATTAATTGTTTAACATATATAATAAATTTTTATATCTAAAAATTATACTAAATTTTTAATAATTTGATGAAATCAAGCCGCCTCAAATTTTATAAAGAAAAATTCTCTTATGAATGATATGAGACATGCGAGATGTTTCATGTTTCCTTTCTTTGCTTCGAAAATTTATGAGGTATTTTGATTAG